ATGGTGATAGTAAATAATATGTTTCAAAAAAAAGTTTCTTTTATATTTTTGCCTATAAAAATTATTCATATTTTTCAGGTTTTTTTTTGTTTAATATGATGAATATACCATATTGGAGATGTACCCAGATGTTCTCTTATGTCTATTTTTTATGTATTTTTTATTATTATTTAATTGTGACATCTAGGGTTGACACATTTGACTCAAAAGGTTGAATTGTTGACTCGCCACCAAACAGGAAAACAACTCCATTTTTGGGTTGGTTTTAAATTTGTATTTTACTTTTATCTTCAATAAAAACAAGTGTTCTTTGTCATACTATTTTTTAATATGGTTAATTAATACAGGAATCAATGAAATAATGGGAGCTAATACCTTAAATATGAAACTTAAATAGAGAGAATTGAATGAAGAGAAATATAGTAGTTCAAATTACATTTTGTGCCCTCGTTATTAAAGAGTGATTAAATTCAAAAATAGAGATGTATTCTAGTTAATTGGAATTAATACCTTAAGTATAAATTTGAATGAAGATAAAGGTGATTGTTTGAATTGCATTTCTGTCATTACAATTAGAGATGGGCTAAAGTAAAAAATTGAGATATTTTAGTCAAACAAAAGTTTCTTTTTTTTTTTTACGCCAGTCAAACAAAAGTTTCACACTTTCATTAGTATAGATATAGATGTTTTCTATCCATGCGCAAAGTATGCTATTCATCCTCAAAAGATAAATGATTCATTGAACATCACAAAACATTGTCAACTGATGTATCTTCCTTTCCATTGCCCATCAAAGATCCAAAATAAGAGTGTCCCATTCAACAATCAAAGCTCCTTTTAGCCCAACACTTGGTTCCGCCATTGTTGCCCCTATTTACATCAATATATATATATATATAGGGGGGAGCATGCTAGCATGGGTTGGTTCGATTTGGTTCTATGGTAAAACCTAAGGTTGGTTCCAAGTTTTTGGAACTGGAACCTACACTATGAAGGTCGGTTCCAAGGTCAAGCCATGGAATTTATTCTCCATTAAAATAAATAAATAAATAAACATATTTTTTAAAACTTGATTTTCAATAAATATAATATATAGTTTAAAACTTATACTCTTTATTGATTAAAATGTAATTTAATACATAGATTATTCATAATGTATTAATATATGTTCAAAACTTGTATTATAATTTAAATTTTGTAAATATTACCTTGTATATTACTTGTTATACATATTCAAATAATAAAATGAAAATAAATGATCAAATCATTTAAGTAACTCAATGGTCAAGTGAAATCATGGCCTTTGTAACTATTAGTGATTGGGCTCAAATTTTCACATCATCAAAAGTATTTTGAGGCTTATTTTAAGGTAAGTTTGGTTCCAAGGCCAGCCAAGGGTGGTTCATTGGGTCAATTTGAATAGGGTAAACCCCTAGGCACAAAAACCGGCATGGATAGGGATTGGTTCCAATAATTTGGAACCATACCCTCCCCTGTAACAAATTAGGTAGGGCTGGTTCAAGGTTGGTTTCATTCAGTTTCCGGTAAAACCTACCCATTTGCTAACCCCTACATCCAAGTGTTAGTGTTAAGTTCATGTTGTTTTTATTCTTTGTGTATAGTATTTTCACATAGTAAGAATTTATCAATATCCTTCACCATTTGCAATTAGGGTTTAGATATCGGAAACAACCTCTCTGTATGTGTAAGGGTAAAACTGTGTATATTGTCCCTTCCAAACCCTACATGGTGGGAGCCTTGTGCATTCAACTGCCCCTTTTTTATATAATTCTTGAATTTCTGATTTCAAGCACCCCAGATCAGCCTAATAGCAATTATAACTATCTCCATTAGCTTTATTTTTTTATATATTTGGAGATCTCAGATAATATATTTTGTTGCCATTATTGGAGTATATCATGAACCGTCTTGCATTTGCATAATTATAGTCAGTGGGTAGTAGATTTTGAAAGTTTAAATGATTTTTTATTTTCCATATGTATTTTCCAGCACACTACTTCCTTAAAAGGCAATGGGTTGAGATCTAAGAAGTTTTTTATAACTGCTTGAATGTTTCTAGCAATGTATCCCCATCAATACTAAGACAAAGTTGGATTTTGAGAATCTCCTTAGCTTGATATTCACAAAATCTATTTGTTTGTGAGTATTTGGTTCTATTCAGTAGGGTGCAAATAGATCGGATCATGATCCGATTTGATCCAAATTTGACTATATTTTTGTTGGATCCAAATAGCCATTTGTCGGAATTTTGGATCAGATTGAAAAATCGGATTGGATTCCTATCACCAACCCCTATCCAATCCGGTCCGACCTATATATGTATACATATTTATAAACATATTTACTTATAAAAAGATAAGTATATAATAATATATTTATTTATAAATATGTTTATATTGCATTTTTTGTATTTTCTTTATGAAAAGGCATGTATATATTAATATATGTGATGAAAACAATTGAAAAAATAGTTATATTTTTTGTTCTTCTGTACATAAATTTCTATGTTTTTTTTCTTTTAATAATTTATTAATTTTTTCATAATTATAGTCGAATCAAATCATATTCAGAGATCCGATATCGTTAACAGATTCAAATTTGAATCACCATTTGTGAGATCCAATCAGATCTTCAAATTGGAATGGATATTGGATATATGCTATTGGATCGGATTGGGGTATACCTTGATTTGAGTCCGATCCAATCTGTTTGCATCCTACCATTCACCATTTTTGTGTAAGAGCCTACGAGGTCACTAAACCAACATGCACACAACTTTTGAATACATGTACTGACGCAAGAAGGAAAATATAATTTATGTGAAATAATTAGTAAAACTTTATGAGTATTTATTAACTGGATTATTATCTTTGGTATGCATAAAAAGCATTGCTTGCTAGTAGAGAGTATAGGTTAAATATGTTTTCATATTCTAATATTCTTATCCAATTATTTTTTGCATGATCCCTTTTTTTCTAAACCCAACCAATATAGGTCACATTCAATCCCAGATGGCCTTTGGCATCAGTGTATGTTTCATGAGTGCTATGTTTATATTTGATTTAAGTATTGTAAAATGAGAAAAAGAAAAATGTTATTGGTAGAAAGAACAATGTTAAATTGTTTATTAGAGGTAAGTAGGTTAATAAAGGAGAATGCACTCACACAATACTATCTAAGCAAAAAAATGTTCAAATTGTTTTTTTTCCATAAGTTATTTTCACATACACCTCTTAAAAAAAACATTACAAAATATTTGTAGTTAAACAATCCATTCAAACAGGATTTTTTGGTTTGGTAGAAGTAAAATGCCTATGTAGTGCTTATCAAGGTTCTAAATATTGATACAGGGCCGTATCAGCCTGTATCGATGCTTTTTTTATGCTTTATTTATTTTTTTTCAAAGCTGGTTCAAAGGGGTTGGTTTAAGTCCCAGTACCTTTTGAACTGTGGTTTGACCTGATACACCCCCTGTAAGGGTGTATCAAGAAGGCCCCCTTGGTGCATATATAGTGATAAAACATTTTCACAACACCACGATACCCAACACCACCTTAATGCCCTTAACTGACCCAAGCAATCTGTTGACAACCCTACATCGCCTTTCATAGAAAATAGTAAATGTGAATGTGCTTTGCATGTAGAAAATTTAGATGACAGTAATTATGACGACAATAATGATGATGATGATGGTAATAATGGCTAAATAATTTTTATTCATTACACTTATTTTTGTTTAATATAATGAATATGCAATATCAAAGATGTGCCCAAATATTTTTCTACAAAATTTATGTATCTTTTCATTTTTATATTTATCTTTTTTTTTGTTTAATTATGACATCAAAGAATGATACTTTTGCCAAAAAGTTGAATTGTTTAATTTTTGTAATGGGTTTACCCATTTGGCTTTAATGGTTGAATTGCCTACTTGCCACCTGAATAGAAGAATGATTTTGTTTTCGAGCCAATGTTAAAAAAATTATGGGTTTTATATTGTGAAAAATAGTAAATATAAATCATTTCATATAGACAATTAGTAGAATTTATTAGTGAGAAAAATACCATAAATATAGGATTTAATGAGACAGAATGTGAATTAATACCTTACGTATAAGACTTAATGAGGTCATTAATAATAGAAAAATGTTAATACTAGCAGTCCAAATTACATTTTCAACTCTCACAAATAAAAAGAAGTAAATTCTAAAATAAGGATATTTTAGTCAAGAAGAAAATTTTCACACCCCCATTCATACTTTTAATAGTAGTTTAGATATGTATGTTCTAAAAGTACAAAAGTAATTTTCATTTTGGTAAATACAATATTAAAGTCATTATTAGTTCAAATTTATACTTCTTTTTTTCCTGATTACCAAATCCTCCTTACCATTAGCGTTTGTTTACCAAATCCTCTTTACTATTAGCTCCATTAATGGAAAGAGTAAAATAATAATTTACCTATTATTTCTTCAACATAGGGATGCTTACAATTCGGTTAATCAAACCATGGGGCATATTTTGTAACTGAATCGATAGTACTAGTTTTTGGAAAATTGGTAACTGGAATTGAACCAAAACCTATCGGTTAACCGGTTGATCGATTCGATTAACCATCGGTTTTTTAATTTTTACAATATATATTATAAAAATATATATATATATAATATTATATTTTAAATAATAAAATAATATATCAATATTATAAATATATATATATTTATTTATTTATTTATATATAATACATAATTATCAATTTATAATATATAAAAATATAAAAATATACACAATATACATAAATATATAAAAATATATAGAAATATATATATATATATATATACCATTCGATTTGATTAACCACCAGTTTTATGTATTGATTAACCAAAATCAAACCAATACCTTTGGTTTTTTAAAAAACCGACTGATCCTGTTAACCAATTTTTTGGTTCAGTTTCGATTGGTCCGGTTTTTCGGTTTTTTTCTCACCCTTACTTCAACAACATCAACTTGTTGCAGCTGCCGCCGGTCTCTCCTCGAAGGAAACAATACATCAACTACCGCCGGTCTTTGCTGGATTAACCTTGCCTCGCTGCCAAACCCTCCCTTCCCCACCTCGCCTCGCCACCAAGCCCATCCCCAGCCTTCCTCCCCACCACCACTGTTGAGGAGAAAATGGCTGTTGGCCACAATCTCCTCCCCACTTGCCGTCGTGTTTACCTCGATCACAGATCACCACCTTCCCACAAACCCGTTTTGATTCAAGCGAACCGGACAAAAGGGGGATGATATGGGGGGAAGAGGTTGAGAATGAGCCAGGCAGAGACGAGGCATAGAAGGATGAGGATAGAGAACTATGGTTTGAACTCTGTGTTTGCGGAGTTTCTGAGCCCTAGATGATCAATTTAGGTTTGAACTATGGCTTTCTTCTTCGACGGTTAGCGTCGCCAATCAGAGTTGCTTGCCCCCTTTTTCATTTTAGGAAAACGAAAAAATGGATCACGGCTCCAACATTTGTCTCATTCAGCTTTGATTGGGCAGAGTGCGCAAGTCGGTGGGCACTTACCCATGTTATCTGGGCAAGCTGCAACAGCAGCGGCTTCCGCTCAATTCATCCCTGGCTTCGTCGGAGATATCATTCAACATATTTTGAGATTGACAAATCTGGAGAGGTCGGGAATGGGGCGAGTGAGGGAGTTGTTTTGCAAGCTGATGGACAGAGATTGCAGAGGATTAAGGATGTAATCAGCGAGCCCCTTGCTTCAGACATCGACTGTTGCTATTACCTGAAAACTGAAAAATAAGGAGAAAAACGAACCAGATGTCATATCTTAGTATCTCCCAGAAATCTGGGTTCCGTGCAGATTTTAGAGATACTCAGCAGATCCGGCGTTTCATTCAACAATCACTGTTCATCGACAACATCGCACGATTGATACTGTTGCTGAAGAAGACAATACATGCAAAGGAGGAAGGGAGTGCCGGTCGAGAGGAAGAGTTCGCATGACCGCCCCACAAACGTCCCACACGACGTGCGACTGACACCTGTCCAGTTGCACGCGGTGGGGCGTTCCCGCGTGCGACGCTAACGTGACGGACGTTAGCCCCGCCAGTTAGCCCCAAAACCAACTCAAAAGTGCTGGAACGCGCCCCCCTGAAGCTCTTTTCCCATATTCGCACCCCTCCTGAAGCTCAAATCGGAGGAGAGGCTCTGACCCCCGTTCTCTGCCCGAGCTCGGATCTCCGCTTCCATCTCCGGCACCGGTGAACGCTCCGGTTACCAGTAAGCTCTAACCCTTGTTCTTTGTCTGGGGTTTTGATTTTTTTCATTAAACCCTCTTTGATGTTTTATTTTTCTTTGATTTTTTTTACCCTCTTCCACCTCCTTCTCCGGCACTGGCGATCGCTCCGGCCACCGTCACCAGGTGTTGGAGTGTCACACTTAGAACTGCATTCAACTTTTTTATTATGCAATGGCTATTAAAAACTCACTTAGAAAGTTGTTTGGTTTACAGGTTTTGGCTAGCTTAGGAAAAAACGACAGAAGGAGAAAGAGAAGGTAGTGCAGTGATTGGCTATGGCTACACAAAGCAGAATTTTCAAACTTTATTATTAATTTGTATGCTTTGGTACAGATACAGAAAGCTGAATTTTCAAACACTTTATTATTAATTTGTATGCTTTGGTACAAATGTTGTTTGGCTATGGCTACGAACTCTCTCTCTCCTCTTTAGTCTTCAAGGGTATGTTAATATATTAAACACAGGTTTATGGTATACTCCAACTAACTAGCCTAAAGCAGGGCATTACAACTATCTTCCTGTCTTAGTTAAACAGAGGCTGGTCCCCTGAAGAAGGATCAATAATAGCTAGTCTTTGATGAGCCAAAAAGCAGTCTCCATGCTGGTACAGCCCACTCCAATCAGGCCCCCGATGCTTCAATCTTGCAATATCAACACTTCTTATAAATGTTCCATCTACATGATAAATACGACTGCTTTGAAGTAGTTTAAAGAATCCAACAGAACTACGGTTACTGTCACAGAACAAGCAGAATCCTCAATTTTAATCTAATGCATGGTAACAGTAGTGTTGGAGACCCAAATCAAATCATGGGTTTTATAAGATCTAAAGTGACATGATGGTGATTAAACAAAAAACCATATTAATCTAAACCCATGTCAGAATCTTTTTCTTCTTCTTCCTTCTGAGAAATCTGACTCTGCTTCTTGATAGCGCAAGTACACGTATATGTTGAGAGAGATATATTGAACCTTCTCTTCATGGTGTTCATTCAATAAGGTATCATCAGTCTCAGCATCGCACGACTATTTTGCAGATTAAAATAACATATTACGAAGCTTTATAAACTATTATTTAAAAAAATGCAACTAGAGAGAGAGATTCTTGTTTATTTGTTGCAGAAGTTCAGAATATCATGAATAAAAAAAGGGGGCATAAAAAACTGGTATTCGTACAAAAGTTGGGATCCCATCTCAAGTTCTCAACTCGATAATGCCTCGTCCCAACAATATCATGAACTCAAATTTGTTAATTATATCATACTTTCTTCTTATATGAAATATTCTTGGAGAAGTATTTCTCCCATTGGCGTTTTCATTAACTTGGTTCTCTGATCTGCTTTTGGTTACCAAAAAAATGAGAAATCTTCTTTTCGGATAGCATGGGGTCAGTTTTGTTTCCTATCACTCTCCATTGTTTTCGGTCTGTCTTCTCTACCTTAATGAAGAGAGAAAAATACAGGTCAAAGAGGAAATCTATTTACCTGTTTCGACTTGATTGTCTATTTTCTTATAGTTTCCAAAGTTGTGTGCGCACAAAGACACAGTAAAGACATGCAGGGGCATCATCCTTAGTTTTTTCTTCATAGAGCATTGGTTTCTTGAAATGAAAAACACTTCAACACCTGGTGACGGTGGCCGGAGCGATCGCCGGTGCCGGAGAAGGAGGTGGAAAAGGGTAAAAAAAGTCAAAGAAAAATAAAACATCAAAGAGGGTTTAATGAAAAAAATCAAAACCCCAGACAAAGAACAAGGGTTAGAGCTTACCTGGTAACCGGAGCGTTCACCGGTGCCGGAGATGGAAGCGGAGATCCGAGCTCGGGCAGAGAACGGGGGTCAGAGCCTCTCCTCCGATTTGAGCTTCAGGAGGGGTGCGAATATGGGAAAAGAGATTCAGGGGGGCGCGTTCCAGCACTTTTGAGTTGGTTTTGGGGCCTACTGGCGGGGCTAACGTCCGTCACGTTAGCGTCGCACGCGGGAACGCCCGACTGAACAGGTGTCAGTCGCACGTCGTGTGGAACGTTTGTGGGGCGGTCATGCGGGACGAGGGTAATTTTGAATTTTAAAGAAAATTTTAAACGCCACGTAGTGTTATGTGTACGAGTTTTGAAGGAATATTAACGTAAAGGATATAGTTTATCAATTATTAGAAACAATAAGGATAACGTTAGATAATAGTCAAATGATAGGAATATATTGGTGAATTAACTAAACAATAAGGGTAATTTAAGAAATTTTTCTTTTTTCTTAAAAAAAAATAAATCCTAAAGCAATCTGATTTTGATTTAAACTCAACATAGTACGATTCATAATATTTGATTCAATTTCTAATATAATTATATAAATGAATCAAATTTGGATGTACTTAAATTCGATTTAATTTCATCCATTTGCAATAAACTTGTTAATGGGTTAGGTAGCCTGGCTTGACCCGTTTTTTGTTGGGCTTAGACATTATTTTAGACTTGTAAGTTCAGGCTTAACCTAAAATACTAAGCCCAATTTTTTTGGGTAAATTACAAAGACCCCCCTATATTATAGGGTCTGTGACAAGACCCCCTTTGTACTATGATCGTGTGACAAAGACCTCCTTCCATTAGCCTTCCGTCCAAAAAGGTCATTACAATATTTTTAATCCCCATACAACTCTTGAAGATGGGAATTGAAAATACTACAACATCTGGATTGAACCAATTTAATCCTGACTACAACCAAGCGATGATTGGCTACTGGTACAAGCAGGCAAATATTACGGCAAATACTATAGCCAGACGACAATTTGATCCTGAGGCGACTACACCGTCAAGATTGTACCAGCAGGCAAATACTATGGTGTCATGAGGAGAGAAGCGAAGAATTGAAAATACTAAGTTACTAATGGCGATTGCTTGTTTCAGACTTTAGAGTTTAGAGTTCATACATCAATGTCGCATGATTGTACCATTTGGTACTCAAAGGCTGTTTCGATGGGAATCCCTGTGTTTGAAGTTCCAACTGCCAAGGGTGATATAAGTCAGATAGTTGATGTAAATATGATAGCCCCCGGAGATCCAAGTACCCACCTTCCACCTAAGCTTTCCATTAATCTTAATTTTGATCAAGACGGTCTCGAAATTATGCTCTTGAGAAAATGAGGTGGCAAGGTAAGGTGCAATTGGCACAGACATGTCGTAGACGAACGGAGACCAAACGTTGATGTCTTTGTGACCCTAGTAGGTGGGCAACAATCTATAGGGAGGATAATCTGTTGATTGTTGTACGTCGCGTACACATGCTTTTGGGGCTCTTTCAGAATCGTACTGGATATCCACTTTATAAGTTTTGGTTTTTCAAAACCTTTTTAGAAGACAAAATCCGATTCTTTGATTATTGATTCTTGTTGGACTTTATTTTGTTCTGATTCAATGGGAGTCTAAGAACCTTTGATTGTATTAGGAGTTTGATTTGATCTTAATTGAGACTTTTTTGTTTGTTTTTTTAATTGATACAAACGGTGGTGTTGAAGTTGGATTTACATGATGACAAGGCCAAGCAGAAGGCCATGAAGGGAGTCTCTAGCCTTTCAGGTATCAAGATGATCTTTACCCTATTTTCTTATTGAACTAAAGTAAGAAATCTCATTTTTGAGAAAGAAAAAAATAGCCTAAAGCTATTGAAATAACTTTTGCGTTTTTTATCTTTGTGAATTTGTAGGAATTGATTCCATCGCCATGGACATGTAAGAGAAGCAACTGACAGTCATTGGAGACGTCGATCCCGTAGATGTGGTGAGCAAGCTACGCAAACTTTGGCACTCGGATATAGTTTATATAGGGCCTTCAAAAGAGCCTGAGAAAAAGGAAGAACCCAAGAAAGAGGAGCCTAAGAAGGAAGAACCCAAGAAAGATCCAGTGGAGCAACAAATCCAGAACCTGGTCAAGGCCTACCAAGCTTATAATCCCCACATGACCACTCTCACTACTATGTCCAGAGTGTGGAAGAGAACCCAAATGCTTGTGTTATTTGTTAATTCTTAGATTTTTAAGGAGGGAAAAGGAACAATCCGAGACGTTAATGGATTCGAAATTCCGAGTGTATTGTCAACGGCGATATCTGAGGCAAGATACCTAGAACAAGGAGGCTAATTTGTATAGTTTTAGGTGAGGAAGTTCCTATCGGAGATGTTAAACTGGTTTCCATCGGAGATGTTAAATAGGTTTTAAGAGAAAAAGGGCAAAAAAGAAAATATACAAAGTTTAGTGGGGTATTTTGATAATTTAATGCATTATGTCATCTAACTTAACGATCAAGGGGGGTCTTAGTCACAAAACAAAGTACAGGAGGGTCTTTGTCACAAACTCCAAGGGTCTTTGTAATTTACCCTTTTTTTGGGGTGGGATCGAGCTTTTTCAAAAAAGCCTAACTAACTCAAGCCCCTAATAATATTTTATAAAATAAAAAATACATAGTATATTTTTTCTTTGTCCTCCTTTTTTTTAAAGTTATAGTAAGATCTTTCAATATTTTTGTGTTCTAAGGTCATTTAAAATAAATAAATCAGTTTACTTATTGAATAAAAAACAAAAAATTCTTTTTGCCCAATTTACATGCTGAGATTCGTGCTTGGGCTTGGACTTTATAGGAGGTTCGGGCTTGGGCTCATGGTCGGGCCGGACTCGGGCCTCAGTGTATTCTGTTAACAAAGAGGCTAAGCCCGGCCTGTTCCGGCCCGTGAATAGGTCTAATTTGCAGCCCTAAGGCCTAAGCTGTGCTGACTGTTTTGCTGAGTATCATCAGTTTCAGTCCCGTTTCGTCGAGATAGCTCGGATACGTCCTCAGAACTATTACCAGCTGAAGGCCATTTTCAGGTTAATTGTCGAAACGGTTTAGTGTCGTCTTGGGATTCAAGAGATCGATTTTGGTTTCTAATTCGAGGCATATCGAATCGAAGCTCTTCGGCAACGGAATTTTAGTAAATTGAATCCCTTCAGCTCCATCAAGTTAAAACCCAACAAAACCACAACTCTCTGCTCGTTTAGCTTGCTTCATATCGTGGATAACTTTCACCGGAACAGTTACGCCTCTATAAGCGAGCTTTTCTTTCATTCTCTTTACTTTCTGGTTCTTCTGTGTACTCCTTTTTCCTTATTTCTTTCTGGTTTATTCTTTTAATTCGTTGCTTATGTTAAATTTCCACCTGGTAACTGTTTTGGATTCACTAGGGAGGGACGGAGATAGAAATGGAGAAAAACGTGAGAGAAGAGGAAAATGAACCCGGGCAAATCGTTAATCCTTGGGAGGTATCAGGAAAAGATGGTGGGAAGATTGACTACGACAAGCTCATTGACAAGTTTGGTTGCCAAAGGCTCGACCAAACTCTGATTCGCCGCGTCGAACGTCTTACCTCTCGGCCCCCTCATGTCTTCCTTCGTCGAGGCGTGTTTTTTGCTCATAGGTTTTGCCTCTTTCTCTCTTCTCTCTTATTTCCTTTTTTCCATTCTTTTTGTCATCTCACTGTCTGACGGTCTCAATTTATTTACTTGTTTGTTATTCTATATATTGATCGACTAGTCAATTTCTATTTCTTTGGTATTGTTGAAATAGAGATTTCAATGAAATTCTCGATGCTTATGAGAGAGGAGAAAAATTCTATTTATACACGGGGAGAGGACCATCATCTGAAGCTTTGCATTTGGGACATCTTGTTCCATTTATGTTCACCAAGTACGTTTTCTCAACATAGATCATTATTTATTGTTATATTTTCAGTTTTTTTATTCCACAAGGTGTGAATGGTTTTATGTATGAAATTTATTTTTTCCTTTATGTAAAGGGTAATATATTATTGTGATTTTTTGCGAATAGTATGATTTACAAGTATAATATGCAATTAGTTACTATATATCATTGGGAAACACGAAGCCCCAAGATAGTGCCTGTAAATGTTCTTTGGCTTTTTATTGGCATCCCTGTAACTTTTCTTAAGATCCTTTTTATTGATGTATCTTAACATTCCTTCTTCAGTAGGGGGTTTATTCTGAAACGTTATTGCATTTTTCCCTCTATACTAACCAAAAGGATGCCATGGGAAGAGTTGGCAAAGAACCTTTCTTCTCTTGCTTAATCCTCTAAGATGCTAACTCTAGGATGGAGCAGGGAAATACCAGTTGATTTTGTAAATATACAGGAAATGGGCCCATTCCACCAAGCTGAATTTGTAATGTAAGAAAAAGTGGTTTGCCATTTCGATGTCCTGAGATCAAATAGACAAGTGAAACTAGATACGTTTATTCCAAGATTTCTTAACTGACCCCAAATCAAACATTTATCAAGAGAAACCATGCACACCTCAAATGTAATTGTTTTGGTTTCCCAATTCTACAGATGGTGTAACGTCCTTGTCAATGGGACCCATAACTACTATAAAAAGAAAAGAAAGAAAATGTCACTATAGGGTTTTCTGTATTTTTGTAATTTCTGGACAATATGGAATAAAAGGAACATCCATGTGTGAGGTTTAAAATGTTGGTGTTGATGGAAATATAGGTCTTTCAAATGAATTTTGATTGGAATTGTATTGATTCTGTGTTGCAGTACATGAATTTTGGGCAGAAATGGAGAAATTGGATCAAAGTATGTACAACCTATCCTAAATTCTTAGTTTTGATTAATGGTCAGTCAGCGGGGTTTTTTGATAGCTCAAGGGGTCTGAGACAGGGTGATCCCTTGTCCCCCTTGCTCTTTATTTGTATTATGGAAATTCTTACTCTTTTTTGCAAGAAGGCAGTTGAATCTTGTTGTTGGGAAGGTTTTGAAATTTCCCCTGAGGGGGAAAAGGTCAATATTCACCAATTTGCAGACGATACATTATACTTTATGGATGCTTTCCTTGCTCAGTTGGGCCTTGTCCTTGGGATCTTAACCTGGTTTGAGGCGGTCTGGGCTTAAAGTTATGAACATAAGTCAAATCATTCCAGTGGGTCAAGTTGCCAATTTAGATGATTGTGCTGAGGTGCTGGCTTGTCAGATTGATTTCCTCCCTATAAAATATTTAGGTTTGCCCTTGGGGGCAAATTGATTATCTTCCTTGGTTTGGGATCCTGTCATTGAAAGATTGGAGAGAAAGTTAGCATCTCAGAAGGCAAGATACCTCTCTTTTGGGGGTAGGGTTACTCTGATAAAAAGTACCCTTTCTAATCTGCCCACTTATTTCCTATCTCTTTTCCCTATCCCAAACAAAGTAGCAAAAAGATTGGAGCAGCTTCAGAGGAATTTTCTTTGGAGGGTTTGGGAAGAGGAAAACAAAATTCACCTAGTCAAATGGGACCAAGTGTGTCTTCCTAAGGCTGAAGGTGGATTAGGAATAAGGAAGTTGAAGAGCTTTGGTTCAGCCCTCCTTAGTAGGTGGATTTGGAGGTTTTCATCTGAAAGGAATTGGTGGAGATCCCTTATAACTGGTAAATATGGGGTGGAGTGGGGCAACTGGAGATCTAGGGATCCTCCTCCAAGTTGGGGCAACTCCCTTTGGAAAGGCATCATGAAGAATTTCTCTATTTTCTTGGAAGGGATTTCAGTCAAGATTGGTAAAGGGGATGGAACTAAATTTTGGAAGGACCCTTGGTGATTGGATGGCCCACTAGCTGATTCCTTTCCTCTCCTTTTCCAGTGTGCCTCTAAAAGATTCCTCAGTGGCTGAGAGTTTTTGTTCTTCTGGAGACTCTGTGATTTGGACCCCTCTTTTTAGGAGGAACCTATTTGATTGGGAGTTGGAAGAGATTATGGAGCTGATGGATCTTCTTCAGAAGCAGAAGATAGATCTGTTCTTGGAAGACAAATGGTGCTGGAAATGGAACCTGGATGGTGAATTTTCTGTCAAATCCCTAGCTTCCAAATTGTGCAGCTTGGGCCCCACTGATTTCCCAGCTACTCAGATCTGGAATCCTACAAGTCCATCAAGATCCAATTTTTTGGTCTGGACAATGGCCCTTGACAAATGCCTTTCCAGATCTAATCTTGAGAGTTGGAGCATTCAAATATTGGATCTTTCTTGTGGTCTTTGTGGGTTTCTTCCAGAATCTACAGATCATTTATGTCTTCACTGTCCGATCTCCTCTCAGGTGTGGGAGCACTTTCTCAAATCCATGGACATCAGTTGGGTTATGCCTAGGTCGGTCAAGGAGCTACTCTGCTGCTGGAAAGGAAAAGGCCTAAGTAAGAAAGGAAAAATTGTGTGGAGGACCATCTCTGCAGCAGTTTTGTGGTCCATTTGGACTGAAAGGAACAGCAGGATTTTCTGTAGTAGAGTTAAAAGTCCTGAAGATATAGTGCAGAGAGCAGTGGGCAAGCTGATCTCTTGGGTTTCTGTTACTGAGGAGTTCAGAAATCTGGATTGCCTTTTTTATTTCGGTCTCACTCCTGTTGGAGCTTGTAACTTTGTTGTTCTCAGACTGCCTTTTTGGGTCTGAGTTCTATCTGTATTTTGTTTTGTTTTGAATAAAATTACCTTACCTTTTCCAAAAAAAAAAGGAAATATAGGTCTTTCAAATATATGAAACATGTTGGAAATTTTGAAAATGTCATATGGAATATTGCAAAATTTGCAGAAATGGTAGACATATGCAGAAATATGGAATGGTATTTTATGAAATGATAAAGAAAGCATAACTACACCCTTTTAGATTATAATTTGGTTTTAAACTATCAAACAAAGCCAAGAAGCTAAGGTTTATAGACAAAATAATGCACTGCAAAGTTGTCCTATAGACTTTAAAAAAACTACATTGTAAAGTTCAAGCAAAAGTTAAATTTACATAACATGCAAATGATCCTAATAGATCAACCAAAGAATCTATTGCATAAATAAGAACTAAGATTTAAAGTCACCTGACTCACATCCAAAAAGAATTTTAAGTTAGATCAAAGTGGTTATCATCTCCATTAGATAACCAATGATACTACTGCTCCACATATTTACAATACAGAATGGTTTCTCTTGAGGAAGGGCCAGAAGTGGAGAATGAAGAGGAGGAAGAAGAGGTGATGTTGGATTAGACCCATGAGGTTATCAATAAAGAGCTAGAGGTGAGTAAATTGTTGGGTTTATTCTTCTTGGGTGGAGAGGATTTTGCTAGGAAAGCTTTTATGGAAGTGAAGAAAAGTCTAGGGGAGATGACACAATTTTGTTTGTGAGGGTGGGAATATAAGCTGGATCCGGAATTTAAAATTAGCAATACAACTTTTTGAGCAGATGTCTAACCTCAAGGTGAATTTTGATAAGAGTTGTGTGGTGGGGGTGAATGTGGAGGAGAGGGAGTTAAGGAATTATGCAGGTGTGTTAGGTTGTGCAATCTCAGAATGGCCTTCGACGTACTTGGGCCTCCCTTTAGGAGATAACCCTAAGAATAAAGCTTTTGGACTCCGGTAGTGGAGAGATTTGAGAAGATGCTTGCGTCCTGGAAGAGAAATTATCTTTCCTTAGGAGGGAGAGTCACTCTGGTTAGGTCCACCCTAGCTAACTTACCTGTGTATTATTTATCAGTGTTTAAGATCCCCACCAAGGTCTCCAACTTATTGGAAAAATTAATGAGGAATTTTCTGTGGGAGTCAGGAGAGGAGAAGAGAGATCATAGGGTGGGATGGAAGGTGGTAATTAGATGTAAAAAACTAGGAGGTCTTGGGATTGGAAACATCAAGAAAAGGAATATGGCGTTGTTGGGAAAATGGTTGTGGAGGTTCATAGTGGAAAAGGAAAAATTGTGGCCAAAGATCGTGGCTAGCATACATGGGCTGGAAGACAATGGCTGGGATTCTGGAATTGTGGCAAAGGCTACAACTGCTTCTCCGTGGAAATCCATTCATGATCTGCTTCCAGTTTTCTCCCCTTGGATCAGGTACGATGTTAACTCTGGTAATCGAATAAAATTTTGGGAACATCTTTGGGTTGGGGTTTCACCTCTGAAGGACTAGTTTCCTTCCTTGTATGCTCTGTCAGATTTGAAAATGAACCTATCTCTTCTTTTTTAGTTCCTTCAGACTCCACTTCTGGTTTTGGGTGGAACCTCGACCTGCGAAGGGCAATTAGGGATACAGACTTGGACAACCTCTTACCCTTATTAGCCATCCTTGAGAATATCTTCCTTGATCCTATTAGGGAAGACACCTGAATTTGGATCCCTTCTACTTCAAGAACCTTTTCTTGTGCTTCATTTTTTGAAACCTTAACTCAGTCATCTGTCCCTTCTGGTGTGTCCTTTCCGATTAAGGAATTTTGGAGCAAGCCCATTCCTCCTCGGGTTGGGTTTTTTTGTTGGGAAATTTTCCTGGAAAGAATAAATAC